GGATCTATGGTCCAGTCAATGTGGCGGGGATCTATGGTCCAGTCAATGTGGTGAGGATCTATGATTTTTGACGTAAATGGCATATTTGTCTTTATTTTCAACTCAAAAATCCACTGAGCCGTGCGTATGCCACTTTTCCTACATGTTAACATAAGCTGAAAAGAATACATAAATCATATTGTCATACCAAGTTCAACATTTTTAAATAGCAGATTTTTGGAATGTATAAACACAGTAGAATATAAAACAAGTCACTTGCAATGTCATCAAAACTAAATAAGATTAATTGGATTTTTGGTTATCATTCATAATAGATAACAAATATCTACATATGTACATAGATGCGAAAATAATTAAACGTCTTTGAGCACGTTTGGTACATATGTATGTCCCTCTATAAAGAGTGGACAATGTACTGAAATTCACACAACGACTGTCCTACCAGTGTGAAAGAAACAAATGATAAAAATCGTTGGTTAATCACACATGTTTAAATGTTAACGTCGACTTCTTAGCCAGTAAAGACACAGGAGATTGCTATGTAAATGTCCACGTCGACCTCTCAGCCAGTAAAGAGACAGGTTATTGCTATGTAAATGTCCAAGTCCACCTCTCAGCCAGTAAAGACACAGCAGATTGTTATGTAAATGTCCACGTCGACCTCTCAGCCAGTAAAGAAACAAGTGGTTGTTATGTAAATGTCCACGTCGACCTCTCAGCAAATAAAGACACAGGAGATTGTTATGTAAATGTCCACGTCGACCTCTCAGCCAGTAAAGAAACAGGTGGTTGTTATGTAAATGTCCACGTCGACCTCTCAGCAAGTAAAGACACAGGAGATTGTTATGTAAATATCCACGTCGACCTCTCAGCCATTAAAGACACAGGAGATTGTTATATAAATGTCCACGTCGACCTCTCAGCCAGTAAAGACACGGGTGATTGCTATGTAAATATCCACGTCGACCTCTCAGCCAGTAAAGACACAGGTGGTTGTTATGTAAATTTCCACGTCTTCCTCTTAGCCAGTACAGACACAGGTGATTGCTATGTAAATGTCCACGTTTACCTCTCAGCCAGTAAAGACACGGGTGATTGCTATGTAAATGTCCACGTTGACCTCACAGCCAGTAAAGACACAGGTGATTGTTATGTAAATGTCCACGTCGACCTCTCAGCCAATAAAGACACAGGTGATTGCTATGTAAATGTCCACGTTGACATCTCAGCCAGTAAAGACACAGGTGATTGATATTTAAATGTCCAAGTCCACCTCTCAGCTAGTAAATCCACGTCGATCTCTCAGCCAGTAAGGACACAAGTGGTTGTTATGTAAATGTCCACGTTGACCTCTCAGCCAGTAAAGACACAGGTGATTGTTATGATGATAATTACGTTCCTTTCACTGTATGCCATATGTAATCACATCTGCAGCTCTGGAGAAGCTCCTATCAATCGAAACTGGTATTCCAGGTCTCGTTCTCTGTTTTCCATTTATCTCTACCGCAGGTTTGGAACGAAACTCTCTCAAATGAAGCTGCGTCATGGATTCAGAGATGCAATTTTGAATATCAGAATCGAGGCAGGGGAGAAAATCTGGCTTTTAACACTATCAAAATCACTACAAAAGAGTACTTCGCCGATGCGCTGAAGGCTTGGTACGATGAAAAGAATGTGTACCGTCTTGGTACCCAAACCTGTGGCAGTGCCTGCCACTACACACAGGTGAGTACGTATGACGGCGCTATTAAAGTAATGTACTAGTATGTATGACTTTATTATAACGGTAAAAAATGCAGTTAAGTGGGAGTAGATAAGCTGCAATAATGTATAGAATATCAGACAAACTCCCATGTATACCCCCGGTAGATTTCAACCTTACTGCGGTCGGGGGTAGGAGTGTTATAGGTCGGGGGTAGGAGTGTTAAAGGTCGGGGGTAGGAGTGTTATAGGTCAAGAGTTGTTATAGGTCGTGGGAAGGAGTGTTATAGGTCGGGGTAGGAGTGTTATAGGTCGAGAGTTGTTATAGGTCTGGGGTAGGAGTGTTATAGGTCGAGAGTTGTTATAGGTCGGGGTAGGAGTGTTATAGGTCGAGAGATGTTATAGGTCGGGGGTAGGAGTGTTATAGGTCGGGGTTGTTATAGGTCGCGGGTAGAAGTGTTATAGGTCGGGGGTAGCAGTGTTATAGGTCGGGTGTAGAGTTATAGGTCGGGGGAAGGAGTGTTATAGGTCGGGGGTAGGAGTGTTATAGGTCGGGGGTAGTAGTGTTATAGGTCGGGGTTGTTATAGGTCGCGGGTAGAAGTGTTATAGGTCGGGGGTAGGAGTGTTATAGGTCGGAGGTAGGAGTGTTATAGGTCGGGGGTAGGATTGTTATAGGTTGGGGAGTTCGATGAGTCCGAGAGCTATGCTGGATAGGTACGACCACACAAGACTGCTCAATGTGGTGGGACCTAACTATATACGGGAGTTTCCTGCGTGTTTTATTTAGGCATGAAGCGGTAGACATGCGGTGGTTAACAGCTGTTAGGTTTACTAGGTATTGACATTGTACTTTGTATAAGTCCAATATTACGGTATTACGTAATTTTTATTCGCTAATTTTCTCCTCATGGTTCTCCCGTTTATTGTAGTGTTTATTGACGTTATTTGTCTTTGATGCAAAACAATTAAATGTCAACAATGTAGTGATGTATTATATAACCAAATCAATATTGTGTATACTGGTTCCGAGTAAAAATAGGTTTATTGTGTCGACAGATGGTGTGGTATAAAACTACACAGGTTGGTTGCGCCATGGTCACCTGTCCTAGTCTCAATGCCTTCGGAAGGGGAATCCCAAATGCATGGTACCTCGGCTGCTTTTATGATCCAAAGTAAGTCGGTCCCATATCTTTAGAACTCATAAGAGTTAGCATGGTGATGTATACTTAGTGACTAGCGTATATCAACAGGTAATTACCTCCGAAACATTATGTTGTTTTAAGTGACGAGTAGGCCCTAATACTTTGTATACATTTTGTTTTCTTCATTAACTAATTGTACACGATGATGGGTCGTTTTGATGGTTGTGTCATGAATGGCATGCAGGATGTGACAAGATAAATCAATCTTTGTACTTCGTAAAGGCTCCAATAATTTAGTTACGGACATGGCGTGTAGCATGGGAACTCCTCGTCGGGTCGGCTCATTTTCAGGGTTTTTTCGCTTACTATGCCGTAAGTTACATTTTCGTGGTCTTAGTATAATAGAAACGTAATTATTTTCCTGTATCTTTTTATGCTATATGTATGGTCCATGCTTTTCAATACCTAATTATGTTTCTCACTGAAATAATGACTAGAGTCGGGTGTAACGTATTGCTCTCTAAAACAAATTCTATATGAATGAATAATTGACACCATTGTACGTATGGTCATTTTGCGCAGTAACAATGTTTTGAATTATTTGACTTGATTTTAAATCGACTAACATGAAATAGAAGTGTAAGACTAAAACATATGTTGTAGTCACAGGCTCTTATTTCGTGATTTTGTGAATTATTTTCATTTTGTTATTTATATGAACGAAATTCCCATAGGGTACATTACAATTTGATTGCAGTTGGCTTTCTTTTTTAACTTGATATTTTATAAATATATGCTTATTTACTTCGTAGTGTTTTGTATTTTTTTGGAGTGAATGTGATGCTTATGTTTTTTGAAACATTCCAAGCGAAGCGGACATTTTCACTTTTGAGTATCATAAAATTGTTATTGCTTCAGTACAAGACAACAGGGTGTTTTTGGTATAATTTAGGTTTGTGCTTCAAAATACCACGAAGTGCATGTCCAACGAAACAGAAAACACTCATTTCATGCGCGGACGTTTATATATATACTTACCATTGTTTTATCATACATCTTCGTGATATTACCTAAAGCGATGTACCAAATATTGCTGCATACAAACTGTCGTTGCGTGTACCATTATCGCTGTGCATCACCTATCGTAATGTAGCACCTGTTGCTGTGAATCAACTATTGTCGTGTATCAACTACCGCCATGTATTAACTATTGTCGTGTATCAACTACCGCCATGTATCAACTACCGCCATGTATTAACTATCGCCATGTCTTAACTATCGCCATGTATTAACTAACGCGATGTATTAACTATCGCCATGTATCAACTATCGCCATGTATTAACTATCGCCTTGTATTAAATAACGCCATGTATTAACTATCGCCATTAACTACCGCCATGTATTAACTACCGCCATGTATTAACTATCGCCATTTATTAACTATCACCATGTGTTAACTATCGCCATGTATTAACCATCGCCATGTATTAACTACCGCCATGTATTAACTATCGCCATGTATCAATGTACCCGGTACAAACTATCAAAGAGTTCCATTTTGTTGTAGAGGCACGGTAGTATAATGGTAGGATGCCGGGCTCGTGCCCGAAGGGTTGCGGGTTCGAGTCACGCCACAATACTGTGGTGTATATTTAAACAATTTCAAGTTCTTTATTACTTTAATTCGGTTGACTTATCAGTTATAACTATTTGCATGGGGTATCTTCCAAGTTCATAATACACCATAACATTACCAGTTTTATTATCTAATCCTAATATTTGTTGGCAGAATCTCACATGAATGTTTTCGATATCTGGTGCGGCATGGAAGCCCCAAACTTCTGCTCCATTACTTAAAACACTATTTACATAAGTATCAAAAACAAAAATTGAGTTTCTATTTTAAAAATGTTTTTTTCTTACAAACATTTAATAATGCAAACAATGCTTTCCTCCCCTGGTCAGCAACTTGCTTTTGAGTTTGTCTAAATTTTCCATTAAAATTCAATAGTACACCCAGGTAGTTGAATTGATCAACAACATCCAATGTATTTCCTTCGTAAAACCATATTTCATTTCCCCTTAAGATCCCTCCATTTCTAAAAACGACAATTTTAGTTTTCCCAGTATTTTCAGTCAAATCCCATTTTTTTAATATAATTTGCAAGAGAGTCTAACATTGTTTGCAAACCCTCTGGGCCCACTTGTATAAAACATCTCAAAGTTAAGGAAAATCTCAAGCAATGTATTATCTATGAGAAATCTTAGAGTGGAGGAAATCTCAAGAGTTGAGATGTTTTATACAAGTGGGCCCTGGTGTTTCAGATATAATCACCATATCATCTGCATACATAAGTAAAAACATATTGATATCCTGTATTTCAATGGATGGACAGTTATCTGATAAAAACTGCATTTCACAATCATTAGCATATATAGCAAACAAAAGGGGTGATAATATTTCTCCCTGAAATAATCCGTTTTCAATACCAAAATATTCAGAGAGAATACCATTATATTTAACACAACATTTCACTCTTTTATATAAGGATCTGATCACTTTGACAAGTTTACATTCTACACCTTCTTTGATCATTTTATACCATAAATTCTGTCTGTTAATAAAATCAAACGCTTTTGTATAATCTATAAAACAACAATAGAGACGTTGTATCTTTTTTACGATTAATTAAAGATTGTAAAGCGAAAATGGCGAGTGATACCTCTATAGTTGTCCGTGTTATTAATGTCACCTTTTTAAAAACAGGAACTATATTACCAAGTGACCACGATGACGGTAAATAACAAGACTTGAATATATAATTGAATAATAACAATAATAATGGCATTATAATATCTTTGCAATTAATAAAATAAACATTAAAAATTCCATCTGGTCCACAAGCTTTTTAGCTTTACGTATTTTAATAGCAGCCAGAATCTCAATCTCTGCTATTTCTATATCAAGTTCATGAAGAATTAGATCATCAGAATTCACGTACTAATCATTAAGGAAGTCGAATATGTCCCTGTCTATCGCAGGCTCATCAGATCCCAATGAACAAAAGTGATGTTAAAAATCTTCTACACTTAAATCCAAATTTAAATTTTGTTTACATTTCCTAAACGTTTTGTAAAATGTTTGCGAGTTGTGCTTGCTAAAATAATTCAACATGTCTCTTTGCTGACATTTATACTCTCTTTTTAACTTATATTCAAGTTTCTGATACATTTTTTTTAATTCACTAGTAATTCTCTGTTCACATTAGATTTACAAACATTAAAAAGTATACAGTGCATATTTATAATCTCTATAGCGTTGTTTACAGGGATCCGTAAACCATGGTTTATCTCCCTTGATAACATTGTCTGCTTGCCTGTGCCTTTATATATGGTTGTGTGGATACAATAAGGAACAAGATACTTTACACCGCTTGTTCAAGTCTAGTCAGCTGAAAATGAGTACGTGGTTTGGCAGTGCTGGAAAAGTTGAATGCTAGGTGTGCCAAAATGGCAGCTCCGGCTGTATGCTCCCCAGGGAGTTGAGAAATATTTTGGTTGGCTTAGAAGGCCCTATAACCACGGTTAATAATTTGTGAACCGCTTTGAGACGACCTACAAACTGATGAAACCGTGAAATAACGCCATGTTAAATGTATGGTCGTGATATGCATGAGCTATCCCTGTGTACGAAATATCGCCGTGTAGGAGCTATCGCTGGGTATGAAATATCGCCGTGTAGGAGCTATCGCTGGGTATGAAATATCGCCTCGTAGGAGCTATCGTTGTGTATTAAATGTCGCCGTGTAGGAGCTTTCTCCGTGTATGAAATATCGCCGTGTGGGAGCTATCGCCGTGTATGAAATATCGCCGTGTAAGAGCTATCGTTGGTATGAAATATCACCGTGTAGGAGCTTTCGCCGTGTTTGAAATATCGCCGTGTAGGAGCTATCGCTGGGTATGAAATATCGCCGTGTATGATATATCGCCGTGTAGGAGCTATCGTTGGGTATGAATTATCGCCGTGTAGGAGCTATCGCTGCGTATAAAATATCGCCGTGTGGGAGCTATCGCTGGGTATGAAATATCGCCGTGTGGGAGCTATCGCTGGGTATGAAATATCGCCGTGTAGGAGCTATCGCTGGGTATGAAATATCGCCGTGTAGGAGCTATCGCTGTGTTAAAAATATCGGCATTGTGTCTTATCTATCGTCATATTCAAACGATTGCACAGTGTCTCATCTATCGTCATGTACAGACGATCGTCACCGTGTACCATATATTACCATGTGTCGTCCTTTTTTCATTATGACTTTGTTTTGCGTATGATGCAATGATTATCAAATAGCTATTCCAGACATGTAAACTTTATACAGAGGACGTGCAATTTTTCAATTTTTTTGCTTAACAACTTTCTCCACTTCGTAAAGCTCTCGTAGTTTTAAAAACATATTCTATTTTTTGACAATGCTGTTGCTATCGTAAAGAGATACTTATCATCGGCCTGAACATTTATATTGATCATGGTATTTAAAACGCACTCTGTATCCTAGTCCTGCTACAAAGACCCGACAATCAGATATATCGGTCAATATTGACGCGGAATGTCTTTGTGTCCTGTATGGCGTTAGTTGATGCATGGTTTTGGAAGCTAACCTTCCGGCATTTACCGATGAGTATTCCCCTGCCCCGCAAATTGCAATGAATTGTTACTTTTTTTAAATCAATTAAGCTTCTTGCTATTATCATTCATCCCAGGTGATGTAATGGTATGTTGAAAAAACAACCACTAATGTAGCCTCCTACTAATGCTGATGCAGTGTTGGCTCTGTTTCTGCACAGTGTATTGTCAGGTTGTCAAATACCACTGGGTGTTGTTGTCGTTATGTGATTACGCTTGTGAATATTTAGATCTGCTTGTTTGGCCTCTAGTTGTACACTGTACACTGCTTCCATATAAAACATCCCCTTTTCCTCATTCAGATGTACAGGAATCAAATATTTTCACGGATACAAAAAATCCTTTTAAGGATGTACTATTCTGAGGTTTCCATCCCGTTTAGGTCTCGTTTTTGATCTCCGGTAAGGGATTTTTGTAATATGTAACAAAGTATAATCAATTTTAATAACTAACAAGCATCTGGAAATGTGTCGACATTCTTTTTTCATAAGAATTTCAAAAATTGACCAATTCGGCGGCCGTTTTGAAAAATGTGTTTTCTGTGTATTTCTTGCGCTTCACGAAAAGAAAAAAAAGAAAAACCTATTTTCATTTGATCTGCTAAATATTTTAAAACGTCTAATAGCATAACTTTTATATCAAGCGCTAAATCTGCAAAAAAATGGTGAAAAAACTAGTATTTTGTCATAAAAAATAAAGGGGTAGTTTGAATTGCTTTTCTGAATTAAAAGATTAAGTTAAAGAAATTTTACTTCTAAACTTATACTTATAATATGAAAGAAAATTCTGCAAACATTCATACATATCTGATAACAAATTTGGAAGATGTCCTGCAAATGATAAAAACAGCAAAAATCACTCAAAATCACATATTATGTCAAATTGGTATCTTTGACCGATCACAAGTCATAGCACAAAAACAAACACACGGACATATATTTCTCATTGCATTTTCTGCTTTGCCATAAACTCGTTTTTTTTCTCCAAAAATACATATGAGAAAAAAAGTTCAATAAAGGAATATTCTAACTTCTCAGAAGTGTACATCCTTAAGCTTTATTTAATATGTAAATTGCTTTATCCCCGGGTAGTAAGTGATATAGAACTAACATTTTTTACTTTATTTGTCCATTTTCAGCAGGAAATGATTTTAACATGGCCAAAGGGGCAGGTCCAAAATGTGCAAACTTGTCCGTTGATATAAAAAGTATCTGCCTTGTCGCACTCAGATGTCATAGAATGAAATACTAGATAGGTCCTTAGGTTATATAAGTTACAAGTCACACGATATTAAGCTAACGACCAGTAACTATACCTCTTTAGATGTTCAAATATAACGATCCAACATTTTAAAACACACAACTGTCGAAATACAAGGAACGATTTTCAATTATACAAACATCTTTCCCAATTCAAATGCAAAGCAGACACCAACAGCATATCGCACCACGTGATTTTAGATTAGGATTTTAAGCAATGATGGAATATTTATTGATACGTACCTAGGATATGACCGTAGTAATACATAGAAGGAAAACTGACTCCAACGTACGTGAGTGGGTAGTTCAGGCATGCAGTTTGTCAGCAAGTGAATACTAATTTGTTGATACGTTTTGTCTTTCCTTTGGTTTCGGTGTCTGCTTTGTTATTGTTTTTGTATTTTTGTGTACAGTACCGATTGTATTCTTCTACATAAACGCTTTACTATATACATGTATATATTTCCCTATAACCATGTCTGTATATTTACCAGGGGAAACTGGATTGGAGAGAACCCGTACGAACCGGGCACGCCATGTAGCCAGTGTCTAGACGGGCAATCCTGCGACAACAATCTTTGTACAGGTAACGTATGCTTTTCCATATATATATATATATGTTCGTTTCGTGATTTTCGACATTAGATGCAGCATTCCATAGCATCATATGATTGATTTTCTTGTTAAATGCGAGGGAGAGGAGGTGTGTGAAGACAACGAATCACTCTGCAAAACATGGCAGACAACGGGAGAATGCAAAAGGAATCCCAATTATATGACGAGGCACTGCCGGAAGTCATGTGGTACATGTATCTGTACAGGTAAATAGTCAGCAAGAGTAACCTAATTAGCCTCGTTGTTGTGTAACAGTTCCAGGTGCAATCTTGATTTGAAAACTGGTGTTGTGTAATCATTGTAGTCATCGTTTACATGTTTTTGTCTCTTTTATTTTCTCGTTGACTAGTTTTTACGCATTAGAGTTATGTAACAACCAAGTGTATTGTTTATTGGTCCACCAAAGGTACATAGTACATGTAACAATCCATACAGTCGAGTGACGGGGTATTGTTTACAGAGCCCGTATTCTCCAGTTGGCTACGTTTTGTGTTTCACAACGCGCTTTACTATTTTCCTATGTTTAATTTCGTGATAATGTAAATTATATTAATTGTAAATACAGGTTTTATGATCTCGCTTGAAATCCGGCACATGTGCCAGAAGTCTTCAACATACATTCTTGCTGTGGTGGGTTTAAAATTACAGCCAAAATGGTCTGTCATGGTAACAATGATCGACTATTGTATGCTTGTAGAACAGAATGTCTACCAATATTCTGTTCGCTACAATATCCAGAGACGTACAACACAATACACTAACACTCTGCCATGANTAGTAAGTGATATAGAACTAACATTTTTTACTTTATTTGTCCATTTTCAGCAGGAAATGATTTTAACATGGCCAAAGGGGCAGGTCCAAAATGTGCAAACTTGTCCGTTGATATAAAAAGTATCTGCCTTGTCGCACTCAGATGTCATAGAATGAAATACTAGATAGGTCCTTAGGTTATATAAGTTACAAGTCACACGATATTAAGCTAACGACCAGTAACTATACCTCTTTAGATGTTCAAGTATAACGATCCAACATTTTAAAACACACAACTGTCGAAATACAAGGAACGATTTTCAATTATACAAACATCTTTCCCAATTCAAATGCAAAGCAGACACCAACAGCATATCGCACCACGTGATTTTAGATTAGGATTTTAAGCAATGATGGAATATTTATTGATACGTACGTAGGATATGACCGTAGTAATACATAGAAGGAAAACTTACTCCAACATACGTGAGTGGGTAGTTCAGACATGCAGTTTGTCAGCAAGTGAATACTAATTTTTTGATACGTTTTGTCTTTCCTTTGGTTTCGATGTCTGCTTTGTTATTGTTTTTGTATTTTTGTGTACAGTACCGATTGTATTCTTCTACATAAACGCTTTACTATATACATGTATATATTTCCCTATAACCATGTCTGTATATTTACCAGAGGAAACTGGATTGGAGAGAGGCCGTACGAACCGGGCACGCCATGTAGCCAGTGTCTAGACGGGCAATCCTGCGACAACAATCTTTGTACAGGTAACGTATGCTTTTCCATATATATATATATATGTTCGTTTCGTGATTTTCGACATTAGGTGCAGCATTCCATAGCATCATATGATTGATTTTCTTGTTAAAGGCGAGGGAGAGGAGGTGTGTGAAGACAACGAAACACTCTGCAAAACATGGCAGACAATGGGAGAATGCAAAAGGAATCCCAATTATATGATGAGGCACTGCCGGAAGTCATGTGGTATCTGTACAGGTAAATAGTCAGCAGCAGTAACCTAATTAGCCTCGTTGTTGTGTAACAGTTCAGGTGCAATCTTGATTTGAAAACTGGTGTTGTGTAATCATTGTAGTCATCGTTTACATGTTTTTGTCTCTTTCATTTTCTCGTTGACTAGTTTTTACGCATTAGAGTTATGTAACGACCAAGTGTATTGTTCATTTGTGCACTCGTACAAAGGTTACATAGTAACAATCCATACAGTCGAGTGACGGGGTATTGTTTACAGAGCCCGTATTCTCCAGTTGGCTACGTTTTGTGTTTCACAACGCGCTTTACTAATTTCCTATGTTTAATTTCGTGATAATGTAAATTATATTAATTGTAAATACAGGTTTTATGATCTCGCTTGAAATCCGGCACATGGGACAGAAGTCTTCAACATACATTTTACATTCTTGCTGGTGCGTTAAAAATTACAGCCAAAATGGTCTGTCATGGTAACAATGATCGACTATTGTATGCTTGTAGAACAGAATGTCTACCAATATTCTGTTCGCTACAATATCCAGAGACGTACAACACAATACACTACCACTCTGCCATGCTGTAAGGCAAGTTCTAAATATTGAAGAGTTCCAATATCGACATAATAGCATTACCGCTTGCTCTAAGAAAGCGTAATCAGCACACCCCATCTTTTATATATAATATATATGGTTAAGTCTTGAAAAAGTAAGAATAAGAATAGTAGATATGCTGATAGATGTTTATCACTTTTCGTCAGTATTAACGTTGTCGAATGTGCGTATTAAGTTCATTTGCTTGTTAAAAGTTGACCGTTAAGTGTGCCATTTAGAGTTAACGAGGTATGTATCGTATCAAAAATGTCAAGCGATTTCCTTCTTTCATGTACGAAAGCAGAGATTAGAAATTCCAGATGGAGCTTTTGGTGTTTTGGCAAGGAAATCTATTATAAAACAAGTGCAATAAGTATGTAATTTCATGCTTATTTACATACACAGTAACGTTGCTAAATAGGAAGGTTCAAGGTAACCTTAACTTGCACTGTTGACAAACCAAACTGAACTAGAGAAATAGGCAATATTTAAACAAAAACACGAGGGGCATTACACATCATGTAAGATTCGATAGTTTCGATACATTCAGGACCTCCTACTAATGCTGACGTCAAAACCTGGACCAATGCATTAATACTTGATATGAACGCCATCTGAAGTCGGGAAGGTTATATTTACTGGCACTTTGTTATCTGTACTCCTAAGGTGTTCATCACCTGTGTCTTCCCTAATATGACCTTCTAACCTTTAGTAAAATATCATTACTGATAAAATAAGTGTACTGCTCAAAGTACCAAGCGATACTAAGTTAATGCTGATTTGATAATAGAAATATATTTATAGTAATAGTATGTGTTCAATGTTTGAGTTATGTTGTTTCTAACGTGCCCCCGTCAGCACATGGCCAGCATTGAATTATCCTTTATACATAACGATGCCATTATAATTAGGTCATTAGTGAGTAAGTACAAGCAAAGATATCAGCAGGGCAAATATGGATGTCGAGTACATCTTGAAAATATTGAGGTCGAATAAAACATTGTAGCGAGAATAAATCAGGGCGACTATTTAGGTCGAGCACAGAGAACAGTAACAAAGTGAAAACAAACCAGGCCAGATACTTCAATTGAGTAAATCTAGCCAGCTATTATGTCGAGTAAAACAGGCCAGCTATTTATGTTGAGTAAAGCAGGTCAGCTATTTAGGTCAAGTACAAGAGGTTAACAGGACCACGTTTATTGAATTTCTTTTTCATTTTAGTTTAAAGGTTGTTCTGTTTAATTTGCTGCGTTTTGAATGTTATCTGTACTTAACATCAATATCTGTACCCAACACCAATATCGATAATGAAATAACACATGTTTGTCGTTTGTTTAAGAGTCCATAACCCTATTTTAGTGATGGTAATGACAATAATTGTCTCGTGCATGAATAGTGATAATTGATGAATGTTTTTAAAAGCCGGTACATTTTTGGCATCGACTATTTTGAAGAGCTTTTGTTTGCTTAATTTTTGTTTCCGACATATCGGTGCTAAATTGCTCTAACTTGTTGCTTTTTTGTTGGAAAATTACATGTACGAAATCCTAATCGAAATGTATATTGTGCAACGGCACGTGCAATCGTTTATTGCAGAAACAGAAGTCGGTTTTTAGTGTGATAAGCTTTGAAAATATTTCTATTGTTTGGCGATGACAATTTAATATCTATTCCGTGGTGGTAATTATACCACCATGTGAGTAGCTTCTAATTAAAGCTATTAACATGTGTAATGAGAGACCTTCACGGTATTTCGGTAGATGGATGGCGTTACGTCCATTTATACGGTTGGTACATTTGTACATGTGTAAATGTTGATGAAAGAAACGCGTCAAAAGGCGGTGTCAACTTACTGTCACAATTATTAATGTATTAATAATTAGTTTACACTTAATCTACATTTCATAATGGTACGCTAAATATCCCTTTTATACAGTTTTGGTTCCTCGACTTGCATTGTTATATTTAATACGAATTATCAAGCTATTTTCCTTTTGTTTTTTTACGCATTAACTGATTCTAATCTATAACAAATGTTAACGAGGAATGTATTGTTTGTTATTTGACCTTCTATCGTATTAATCTCAGAACAGGATTCTGTGTTTATGATCTTTTTGTGATAAGACAATTCACCAACTGTCTTTAATCTTGTAAGTATAAAATAAGTTATAACCTGTGTATTTAACTGACATTAGGCAGGCTGGATCCCAGACATTGATCGATATTGACGATTGCTGGTATTACATGTAACACGTTCATGCCAAAGTGACCTGTTTATTTCGCTTTCATATTTGTATAGTCCGATGTATATCTCTCATCACATAAGAATTAATTTGACTCAGCTTAGTTCTTATTGAGGTTATTAAATAGGCTTGAAATATGAGCAACATAAAATCACTATTATCACAAGTAATTTAAATAGTTTTGTATGGCTCCTTCAACACATTATCATTCAGAAGACTATAGGTTACGCTTACAGTATATGATTTTGTACTTTGGTGCAACGCTTATCCTTGGAAATATATGTACCGTTCTTTTAGCATGGGTTTATATAGTAAAGCGTGTTCCGTTAGCGTTGGTTTATATAAAAAAGCGTGTTCCGTTAGCGTTGGTTTATATAGTAAAGCGTGTATCGTTAGCGTTGGTTTATATAGTAACGCGTGTGCCTTTAGCGTGGGTTTCATTTTGTTGATTTGGCAGGTCGATATCTATATGAAAAATAAAATTCTTACTATGACTAACTAACGATTACTAATAAGTAGTACATGTTTATTTCCTTTCCAGGCAGCAGCAAGGTGTGTCGTGATACTAAAGCGAACTGTGCCTCATGGGCCCAAAGTGGTGAATGCAAGAACAACAAGGAGTGGATGATAACTAACTGTCCAAAATCATGCAACACTTGCTCTGGTAAATGATCGTGTGGTGCTGTCTGTGTCTCTATAATAAATGTTACCGGACTCTGTTTGTGTTGTCTTGAAGTGTTGTGTTGTCGAAATATCGTTTTTATTTATTTAATCTGATTAGGGATGTGTTAATTATATTACACTTGTGACAACTGCCAACACTTTAAACGCAAATGTAGAGTAATCATACACAAAGATACACACATTGTACGCAAACGTAGGACAAACACAACAAAACAGACAACATATTGTACGCAAATGTAGAATGAGCAACAGATTGAACGCAAATGTAGAATAAGCAACACTTTGTGTCAAAATGTAGAATGAGCAACACACTGTACGGATACGTAGAACTATTTACACATTGTACGCAAATGTTAAATGATGATCAAATACAAGCAAACAACACATTATGCGCAAACGTAAAAAAACAGGTCATATTCGCCATTTAAGCATGTGTTACCTTCTTTCGCAGAGAATCATTTATTCAGCATTAACAGATTATTAGAATGTGATATCAAATTTATTAGTAGACTAGTCCTTTGTAAAATATAAGCAATGATATGACAGAAAGGCGAGTGATTATAACGTTTCTAAAACCTTACCATCTATTTACAATCAACTTAGTAAACTCTGACACTACTGGAAGCATATCCCATAAAAATCACATGAAATGCCTGTGAAAACCCCATTAAAAAGCCTGGATGCCATTAATAAGGCCATGACATTTCGTCAAAGTNATACGAGTGTCAAGAACCATGGCCATGATTTCTCGTCGCAAAAAATAATCATGGTCATAGTATGGCCCTGAAAAAATGAAATCATGGCCATGAATTCCGATGGTGTATTTCATGGCATTGAAATTTGGAAAACCACTGCCATTAAAATTAGTTGCTCTGAAAGTGTCCGAGATACCAGATAGTTCAAGGCCACGAAGAAAAATATCATGGAGTCCAAGTAAAGACATGAAGAATTCATGGCCATGAAAAAGTAATTCCACAGCTTCTAGTAAAGATCATAAATTCATGGCCATGAATTTTTCAACAAAGGCCATGATATCTATATATATATCATCATAGAAATTTTTAATATAGTGTTCACCACCCTTAACTACAAATTACGCAGTTGTTCCGAGAGTGTGGAAAAAATGCGGAAAATGTGTGGATTTTTTATTTTCACACATGTTTTACGCAAATGTGGAAACCGTGGTGTGGAAAATGTGTGTAAAATATGCGGAAATTTGACTTAGTCATTTTCAAATGCGGAAAATATGTGGATTTTTTATTTTTATGCATATTTTACGCAAATGCGGAAACCATGGTGTGGAAAATGTGTGTAAAATATGCGGAAATTTGACTTAGTCATTTTCAAATGCGGAAAATATGTGGATTTTTTATTTTTATGCATATTTTACGCAAATGCGGAAACCATGCTGTGGAAAATGTGTGTAAAATATGCGGAAATTTGACTTAGTCATTTTCAAATGCAATTTTGGACTTAAAATAATTTCAAGGTTCAACATTCTGGACTTAGAATTTTTTTCAAAATATATGAAATTTTCAATGGAAAAAAAATCCTGGTTTCTGTATGCCAAAGATATTTTAATCATATGAATAGTAGTTTCTTCAAAACATATGATTAACAAGTTAATGCAAATAAATGTCCGGGTCAACAAGATTGATTATAACTTGAAATAACTTGTTTCATAATTGTTGTAAAATAAATAAAGTTTAGATATTAACAGTGTCTCATGGTCCTGACACCCAATGCAAGGACTCACTCAAATAACAAGTTTACCAGTTATTTGGTGTTACCATGCATATGGTGCATACAAATCCTTATTGGATTCTGAGTTTTATTTATCAATCAATGTGTTTTATTCAAATATTTGGAATTATTTGGGTTCGTTTGTCAAGGACAAATGTATATAAAAAGCACTAGAAGCAATATGTATTTAGCTGTTTACATTGTAATTACGTATACTTATACATGTAGCATCTTCTAGGTATGAACAATTTAAAATCAATGGAAGCGCAGTTGCTGGATAAACCACGTCACACACACGACCATGACAAAAAAATGCCTACATGTAAAAACATGAGATTACCATGTGCTGATGACATGACAATCAAATGACATCATAATATCATTTGATTGTCATGTACCCCGCACATGGTAATCTCATGTGCTGATGACATGACAATCAAATGATATTATGATGTCATTTGCTTGTCATGTCATCAGCACATGGTAATCTCATGTGCTGATGACATGACAATCAAGTGACATCATAATATCATTTGATTGTCATGTCAGCAACACATACATATCATTGTAGCATATGTGTATTCTGGACATTTGTATTAAATTGTAATGAACTCTTGTGGATGAAGGTCTGCCGTTCATTACATCAAACGGAGGATTCGTTATCTACTGAAATGTAAAGCCTGTACAAACAGTGGAATGAAACAAATTAGAAATGGGAATAAAATATAATTGAGGAAAAACATAAACTTAACAATTGCATTGACTGACTTGTTAAAAGGACTCGCACAACTAAATCATCCAATCAGCAAGTGTTTCATACGTTTATAGTTCCTATCTAAAATAAGTTCCGGCTAATCATTGGGCCACTGAAGGAGTTTAATAAGGAACTGATGACAGATTTTTAGATAAATGAAATGTTCAGGTATTTAACTTTTGAAAAATATATACTTTTGATATATTTCCATGTCTGTCTGTATGCAGATTTGCACAGGGAAAAATGTCTGGGGGCGTTTCTGTTTTGGGTCACGTGTTTTGCTTGTAAACTTCCGGTTGTCAACTTCTTGGTGCTGTGACACTCCAATATGCCACTAAACCTACCAAAAAAGTCATTTTGTAGCCTTTGCAAGCTATGTATTTATGAATCTAGACAGTTAATTGTCACTTGTTTTGAACTTAAATATTAAAGTTATTAGCAAAAATGTTTGGTAATAACATGATTTAGTTGTGCGAGTCCTAAAAGGCCCAATTTGATCAGTATAATTACAATAGTCTAGAATATCTGAAACTGTACACACCAGGGTATACCTAGCTATGAACCATCTGTTCAGTGAGATGGGTTAGACTTCCACCATCCCTCCTAAAATAAGGAAACACTACATAATAAACACCGCAACCTCATGTTAATTCTGGTGTCAGAAGGCCTATGGTTTTTAATTTAAACTGCAGTGTAACTAAGTACAAGCTATACCCTGGGGATAAATCTGCATGTCACTCTGTTTTCAGAGAGTAGCCTAATAATTACAGTACGACAATAGACATGAAAGTGACAGTATACAGAATAATATCAACCTAAAAGTGATGTTTCAGTTGTACGAGACCAATGCTGGCCTAATTGGTCAGCATTAGATGCTCATTCCTTTTTGATTACATTTGGAAATCTTGAAACATCTTTACGGCCTTTACTGAAGTCCATATGCATGAATACAAGAAGTTCTTTCAACCACTTTGTTGGGATAACTGCATTCTCTCTGAAAAATATGTAGTTCATCTGGTTTGAGATACATGTAGTTTGAGATGCATGTAAAGGACAAATTATGGAATTAACTTTAAAAATATTCAATTACATAACTTTGCTAAAAAACCCAAACAATTAATTGAAACATTTAAAAATGATGTTACAATCTTATTACCATCTAAAAATGATATTGCGATATATGTATTGCTAGATAAATATTGCAATATATCAGTACTGCAATATTATTGCACACCCCTAATTTAATCAATGAAAACATTTTGCATTCAAGCCATTTTGGTATCTGTGGAGTATAACATATAGATAGATTGTCATTCGAAAATCAATGTGGAAACTGTTCCTGAACGGAAACAATTCTTGTTTAAAAATATAAAGACATTCGCTCGTCTTGTAACCCAACGCGATCTAGTTAACCTTGTCGAGTTCCAGGAGAAATTGAAATTATCATATCTGATTGACCCTTTTTCTTTTAAGGGCTGTGTCAGTCAAAAACGCTTACCAGACTGTCATCCATGGTGCAATCATGATCATGATGATATAATTTTAATAGCGAGTCCTTGCGGTTTGTCCTGGCATGATTTTTCAATCATATAAACCTTATCAGAAAGAAGGGAGTGGGACGTTTTGTAAGAATTGTACAGCTGTTAAAAATTGTATGCACTGTACGCTGGCTTTTTATCCCGGTGAGTGTCGATTGTCTTCTCAAATGGATCTTGAAAGCCCACACAAACACTTCTCAAAACACCGATTACAACCGGAAGTAAATATTATGGATATTGGTCATTAAAACGTTTCGAACCAAACTTTTCGCGCTCTTTTACACATCGGATTTGTGTGTTGACAGCCGACAGCGTTCACGAATTTCAAGTCACCTCATGATCGGTTATCTGCACATCATATCGCGAATGTTTGAAATACACATATGCTATACTGATATGTATGTTTATGTGTGCTGTGATCCATATCAGTTTAGCATATGTGTATTCTGGACATTTGTATTAAATTGTAATGAACTCCTGTGGATGAAGGTCTGCCGGTCATTACATCAAACGGAGGATTCGTTATCTCCTTCCTAGCGATGGTAAGAGCAATGCAAGATAAATAAAAGCCCAATGAGAGTCAAATTTACGGAGACAGGGGCAATTTTCGATCACGGCTTTCGTTGTTGGTCGTCAGATCGTAATTGCTACGTTCAATTCGTTTTACAAATTCATAAAATAAATTAACGTAACTATTCCTACAAACTGATTTACCAAATTTTGTATTGTATATGAAACATTTGTATATATGAAAAGTTCAGTTTAGCAAATTGACAGTCTGCTTGATAAAGAATGATTCATTTTAAATACTTTAATAACAATTCATTATTCATGGATCAAGCACAAACATTGCATTACAAATAAAGTCAAATAACAAGCCATCAGATAAAAAATGTGTTTGTGATTTTATTTTCTGTATTTTGATACATTGAACCTGTAACTTATTGCCTGCTCTTTAAATTTTAATTTGTGGAATTACAACACAGGCATTAAATCTAAATG